CATTGCCTTGCTTTCCCAAAAGTCGTTCTCTTCCCGACTGGAGTGGACTGCAGTTTCCATCTCGCATCAACTGATCTGATAAACACCCCCAGCGGGAGTAGAGCCGTAAGAGTTCAGCATGTGATTTCGACACGTCAACCACTTGGCCACGTTGCCACAAGTACCGTTGGGTCACAGGACAGGTGTGAATTTCGTGGAAGGCCATATCACATTCGCAAGCTCACATTCTGCACTATCACGGTTCGACTCCGGCTGGGGGTGTTGATGAGACAAATGTGAAATTGACTGGAAACGTCAGCTCAACTCATATCATTGTGGGAAAATTTTACCACCAATCGCTCATCCCCTTAAACGAAATAGGCAAAATGCATCTCATGTTGTTGAATATAGTTGCAGAAATGATATGAAATGATATTACAGAAGTAGGCTGAATGCATTTTTATAGAAATCGGAGAAGACGACAATTGGCCAAGAGGAACCTGCTGCCGTATTTTGGTGAGGTCAAACTACACGAATCACTCCATCACTTTCGCACCATTTTACTCGAAATGGATGTCAGCTCAACAAATGCAAAAGAAGATAGATTACTCCAAACCCAACATTGCTTCTCAGTAACATGATTAATCCAACCACAAGACTTCTGATGGGAAATCGCGTCATAGGCGATTGCCACCTGAAAGTGGGGAAACGATTGGCATTTGCCGAATCTACTCAAATGCAAGACGAAAACTCAGCTATTGGCTTTGGGGAAGGTGGCGGTCGGGCGTGGACAGGCCCGATTGGAGGGACTCGGACCAGGGAGCATGGTCAACTTACTGGCGACTGGAAGGAAGTAGACGAACCAATGGCCCATCACGACCCAGCTTATCGAGATGAGCCGGACGCCATCGAGGAAGAGGAGCGGATGCCGCGGGACGGCCGAGGTCTGGCCGAGGCCGAGGGCGCCGACTGCGCCGGAGGTGAGTCCCGGATGCTGCAGACGAGGGCCGGCTCGAGTGGGTGAATTGCGCCGGCGAGTCGCATCTTCATACGGAAAGACCAGCTTGGCGGTGTTGAAGGGCAGCGAGAAAGCGACAAGCACTTGCAGAAGACGCGTCTGCGTCGAGAGCAGTTCTAAAATGACAGACAAACGACAAGAGATGCATCACCCGCTCTCGTTTTCCGAGCCCGGCGGAACGAAAGAAATAAAAGAAAGTCCCGCTCGAACGCGGCCCTCACCCTCTTCCCGTGAACATGTAGAAAGGGATGAGTACGAACATTTGATAGAATATTACATGAGTAGTACGGTAGTAGTATATTATATTTAGTATATATATATATATTTATTTATTTATTTAATATAATATAGTAGTATTATCAATAGTCCTATTTGAAACGGCCGAATACAGTGTGTGGGAGCTGACAATAGAAAGACAATCATTGAACTACTCGTTCCTTAAACGAAATATACTGAATACATCTCATATATATGATCTACTGCTAGCCTCGAAAGCCTACTTACAAACAAAAAATAAGTAATATGAGATGTATTCACCCAATTTCGTGTAAGGTGATGCACTGGTAGTCTAGAAACTCTAATTAACTATAAAAAATAAGTAATGCAGTCGATTGCTACAACAAATACCACTTTGCTCCCAAAATCCCACTACAAACTGTGATAACGAGCTCGAAAATGTGGTCCAGTTTGTATGCGAATAGCTTTTGTGAGACAAGTCTAGGTCAAAATGCGATTGCATCTTGAGGCCTACTTGTATCAGTTTGCGAAATTGCAACAATAAAGCCTTCATGACTTTGTGCAGTCTACTTTTTATGAATACTCTTTATTATTTTTTCTTAAAAAACTTAAATGGGAAATTTAGCTGTTTCAATGATACCACGTCAAGCAGATGGCACATCCTGATACAGCATTTTGATAAGTATTTGCTATATCTGATGAGTCGAATACAGGAAATACAGGCGTTTGTGTTGAAGAGACCAATCTGGAACATGGTTTTATCTTCCAACCGGTTGAAGGGGGGCCTGATTTCACACACATAATTGTGGTAAACGATCCTTAGCTCATCTTAAACCCTCCCGGTTCAATAAAATCATCGTATAGAATTAATTATAATTTCAAAAAATATTCATACTGTATATAAATAAGCCAGTGGATCCATAGTTAGTCATATGGTGGAGTTGTTATGTATCATACGGCCTAGTTTTGATGGTTTGTGAAACCTAGACAAGGTTTAAATTGCAGGTCAGAATGCATGGGAGAACCTTTTGAGATGAAAAACGAAATGAGCTCTAATGACATCCTGAGATCTATTCGTATCATTCATGTACCATATCTTTATCACGTCATGCTACCGAGATAGATCACAGTTTTTATGCAAGATCTACCGATAGTTTCAAAACCTAGCAACTATAAATAGAAATAAGCAAATCTAATTCAGTCGGAGGTGAGTTTACACTTTTATAGAAGTGGGTTAACTTCATTTTTGCAACTTATTATTGTTGTCAGGGCGACTTAATTGAACGCACCCAATCCGAAGTCCACTGTCCTAGCAGTTGTTGCATTTCCCAGCATCAAACAGTGGACTTTGATGAGAATGAGGATGCACCAAGTCCACGGTCTGATGCTGGAAATTATGATCATTATTATGACAGTTGAAATCGGATAAGACGCGTTCAATTAGGTCGCCCTGACAACAAGACCAAGTTGCGAAAACGAGGTCAACCCACTTCTATAAATCGAAAAGAGACTGCGACCATACCGAGGGCCATACCACACATTTTTATGTCGAATATTTTAATTCGTTGCTTCAGCAGAAGAAGTTTAGATTTAATCTGTATTTACTTGCTTTTGGTTTCGTTATATGAAGAGTTGAAATTATTTATAGGGAAGCACCTCTTTTACTGAGACATTACCTGCTATACGTATGAAATAATTGTCCTATCGGTTTTTACCTGTTATGAGGCTTCTTTCAAAGGTGTCCCAAAAATGTTGGTATTGTTTAAGCCTTGCTTTGACTAAACCTTCAGAGAAAACTGCCGTTCGTACAAAACGAAGCCTCAGTAGAATAACTTTGTTCGGTATTTCCTGTTTCTTCTATTTATCAAGCGACAAACCAGGAATACTGATTGCATTTCCAAACACCCTTGAACTGTCGTCTCCATCTGATCATTAGTGCTGCCAGTTCCATTCTGCATAGAGGAAAGATGGAATGGCCAGAATTCTCCTTTACCTATTTCCACGAAGAATAGCCGCATGAACCACTTCAAGTCAGCCGCTTTGGGCCTCCAAATAGCAAGTTCGCTTTAAGGAGAATGCTCTCAGCAGGCCTCAAACCAAGAGCGCAAAGGTTATTAGATGAGAGGCCAGTTTTTTAATGAAATCCAATTAAGTGGGAACAATTACTCTTAGTATCTACTGCATTTCTTTCGTCATGGATAGGCTATGAGGACGGGGAATGCTCCGTTCTACAATGAAGTGGCCAAGTAACGGTGAACAAGGAAGCTAGTCAGAGGGAATTCGAGATCCCAAAATCCCTTGTACAGGCATAAAACGATCGTAAGATACATTTCTGTAAGATCTTCAGGCGGAAAGGTATTAAAGCTGCTCAAGAAGATGATTTAAATATAGAATAATTCACAAAAATGTTGCGATAAAAGGGGGAGCATAAAGTTGTTATGACTAAGCCCTGAAAGAGAAGAGCTAACAATCCATAAATTATGTAAACAAAGGTTCAATCCACCTTCTCTTGCACGTGAAAATGTTGTGGCGGCAACGAAAGGAGGACAATGACAGGAACTGTCTTGATAATGGCCTGAGAAGATCGTGGAGCAGAGGTTTGTGTCGTCCACCTCCACGTCATACAATTCGCTTGAATTGTCGAATAAAGTGTCGTCATCGTAGTCATTAAGAGTGCCATTTGCCTCTGTATGGACAGTTTCGCTGATCATCGAATCGTTGAGACCATTGCGAGCAGCTCGTCTGCGGAACGTACATAGTCCTTTAACGAACTTTTCACGGTGAAAAAGCCATACGAGATAGAGAACGAAATCGATAAGGGATCCAATCATGACCAGAAAGACCAGGAGCATCCATAGCGAACTGAAAGTGAGAGCAAATAGAAGCAAGGTTAAATCCGTGTCCAGAAATGTGGAGATTCGAGGAAAAAGTATACACTGAGATAGCATCTGCTGACATAACGATGATAGGCTAATGAGTAAAAGTAGACAACTCATTCATTAAGATCAAACCCTGTCTCCTGCCTAAACAGTGGCGAGACAAGAATCAAGATAAAAGTGACCAAGTAGTCTAAAGGAATCACCCTAAAGAAATAGAAAACACTAAACTGGACAGAAGATGAAAGCTTAGACATTTACAGCAAAGTTAGTCAGGATCGAGTTTATAAGGCTTTTTTCCACTTATGCGTCATAGGGGAAAATACCTGATAATTTCCATGGATCGGTTCACTCAAGCCCAGGAGTTCTGTTTTCCAGTGGTCAAAGCATTGTTTTTGGTTCAAACGACCTATGAAATTAAGTGAACCCTGTGCAGATATAAATTAATAAGTGATACGTCGTCAATAGACTAAGGAAGAACCCAGATCCGCATAATCAAAGATCGTCCTTTTTAACATAAATCTTTGACTGAACAAAATTGAGTTTCTTGACACTGACCAAGTAGCAGAGACCAGTCCCTCGAACCCATACTTTGTAGACTCAAGTACAGATTTAATTAGAAACCTTTACACGCTTAGAAAGACGCTAGGCAGATCAGATTAGTCGGGTTACATTCAGAGTCTTTGTCTTACTGAATTAAAGACTGAATCACATTTACTTTGGGGTTAAAAGAGAGGCAGAAATATAGGGGGAATCCAATCATGATGCGCGAGTAATCTAAAGTGGATCAGATGTACGGAACTAAAGCATTGAGATCAGTTTTTCAGGTAATATAGATCGTACTTTCGCTCATTTAAGCATAATTTTAGTGCCAGAGTACTGAGGATACGGGTTATTCAACAAAATGTTTTAAAAATTTGTTGAACAGATAAACTTAAATCTCAATCGCTTGATTTTTAAAATATATAACCAGTGTAAAGATAACTGTAATCGTTGATAATAACAATTAATTTTTCTTTAAACTACACAACCCTCACTTTTTAGCTAACATTTTCTAAGAAGGATTTGGCTTCGTTGTACTAACGTGAAAAATGATAACTTTTCCGTTAATAAAGGTCTGTGGTAAATAGCGCTTAATACACAAAATATACATATGCTCCTTGATAATTGCACAAATGCTAATTTACCTCCAACCTTTTGAGATTTAAATAAAAAAAATTATATTTAGCTATTACAGCTTAAAAATAACATCATTCC